AAAAAAAATAATTACATCCAACTGTATTACATTAAAAAAACAGATAAAAAAAAAGATAAAAAAAAAGATAAAAAAAATAGGAAAAAAAAACAGATAAATCAGTGATCCCCCGGAACCCGGTAATGACCCCCGGTTCCGCATCCCCGTCCTCGCCTTTCCCGTGCTGGGTGTCATCGTGTTTCCTGCTGCGGTAGGGTCGATGGCCCAATGAAGTCAATGCGGTCCGGATCCATAAAATCAGTCAGATCTCCATATCTAGAAGATCCGCCTTGGTACAGTCGGTTACCCATACCCTCAAAGTTTGGTCGTGTTGGCGGTGGGTGGGGTTCCATGGTGGGTCTGTAGCATTGATCGTCTGAGTACGGTGGGTAGAAAGGAAATGGATCTTGGGGTGTTTGGTATTGAGGATGTTGGGTGGTTTGGTGATATTGTGGTTGATGGTAGGCTGGGTCAGTTTGTTCATAATCTTCTGACATTCCCATATCAGGGCTAAGGCTGGATGTTGAGGGGCCCATATTAGGATATACGAAAGACTGAAATTGTGTGTGGGGTATGCGGGTGTGTTGGTATTGTGATTGGTATTGTGGTTGGGTGTGAGGCATATCGGGGTATTGGTAGTGAGGTGGTGATTGTGGTTGGTTGTGTGGCATTTGAGTGTAATTGTGTTGTGGTGGGGACTGTGGTTGGGTGATTGTGGTTCTGTTTCTTCTTGGGGGTTGGTGGGAGGTTGATGGGTTTTGGGTTTGTTGTTGGGGAAACGAGGGTTGTTCCCATTGTGTGCGTGGGTCAACCAAGTACCTTGGATGAGACACGTGCATTTTAGGGTTACTAATCGACCTGTACCAAGATAAATATGGATCCGTGTGTCGCATATTACCATGATTAAGGAAAACCGGGAATTGCAAGACATAGCGGTGATGCCTCTGCCACATCTTACACCATTCCGGAGTGAAGTCTTTCCAATTGGTAAGACCCCACTAGGCGTCGACCCTTTTAAGATGCCATGGGGACAAACAAGTTGGATCACTTGGTATTTTTTGATGCATTCCGAACTGTATCTTCACACGGTCGCTGTGGTGCATCTCCACAATGTTGAACCGAATGATTGCAGTCTTCGCGGTCCAAATTGCTGCATCCTCCGGGTTTGGATCATGGCCCAAACCCAAATATGGTCTCCAGACGAACTGCGGTAAAATTTAAATCAGGTTAACGAAAACGTAATGTATAAATAATTTAAATGAAGAAAAGTTTAAAGCTACGACGTACATCATCCGGGCCTAAGTGATCCAACAGATTGCGGTATAGTGCGACATTGAATCTTGGATTCTTGCCGTAATCCATACCCCTCACGCAATACCTAAAGGAAATGAAAAACATTTTATTCTTAGCATATATTTGGTGAAGAGATGAATAGTAATAAATGATATAACTTGATGACTTACTTTGTTGCGTACGGGAAAACGAAAGTGTTGTTGTTGACGGGGTTTAAGGACTCCATCCTCCACCAACCCCGGGCTTGTAGTAAAAAAGCGCACCCATAAAATGTACATTTTTCCTTGACTGCATTTTTTCACAAGGAACTGTATAGGTGGGCTAAAACTGCAGAACCCCAACTATATTTTCTTGTTTTTTCAAAATTTCTTAGTAAATGTAAATACATAAAATTTACACTATTTCCCGTACTTTCGAGAAATAAAAAGGTACCAAATAGTATCATAAGATAAGTTCTGGCTTTTACTACCCTGTCTTGCTCGGAGGAATTTTCGTTTAATTCCAAACTTGCATAATGACTTTTAAGCTCAGTGAGTAGTATTCCCTGACCTCTCGCACCACCACCTTCAACCATATCCCTGCCCAACAGTTCTTCACACTGAGAGTTGGGTTGTTGAACTGACTCGTTCACGGCCTTACCGTCGACAGGGAGACCTAGTAGCATGTACACATCCTCTAGCGTGATGGTACATTCACCTATTGGTAGGTGAAATGTATGGGTCTCTGGTCTCCACCTTTCCAACATTGCAAGAATGAACTTCGAATCAATTGTGCAGTTGTAGATCTTTATGACATGTCCAAAACCTGCGTATTCCAGATATGGTACGATAAATGGGTCGGGAGCCAGGTAGTTGTGAGAACGAATTCTAAATCTTTTGGTGTCCTAAGTTCATAATGTAAAAGGTGTAAGATTAAGTAAGATGAACAAAGCATTATCTGAAGTATGAAAAATGTATAACCAAAATAGAAACTTACAAATACGGCAATGTTTTCCCTTGTGCCTCTGTGAGAATCACCCATTGTTAGAAGAGCCATTGTTTAAAATGCTTGAGATTATGAAAGACTTAGAAAGTGTAAGAGAGTATGAAAGACTTAGAAAGTGTAAGAGATTATGAAATATTTCGTAGAAGAGAGTGAGACTTGTGTGGGTGTGAGAGATGTATGATATGGTATGTATTTATAGGCAAAAAAAATTCATATAGTGGTTGCTGGTGCTTGCATGCATGCGAAGTGTCACTCTTGCAGGCTAGGTGGTAGCCTAGGGGGTTACATATATGCATGCATGTACAAAAATTAAAGGTGTCACTCTTGCAGACTAGGTGGCAACCTAAGGATGTATCACGATTGGACAGTAAGGGAGACGCCATTGGACTTGGCGAAAGAGTACAAAAATGAAAGGTGTTGCCATCCCAATTGGCGAATAAGAGGTGTCATTGGTTGCAGGCTAGGCTCAGGCTACGTCACAGCCTTTGGGATGCCATGCCTGAATGCATGTAACCCTATTGGAGGTGATGGGAGGAGACTTACAATATACAATATAGGTGCAGAGTAGGCGCAGGCTAGGTGGCAGCCTAGGGGGTTACATATCTGCATGCATGTATCACGATTGGACAGTAAGGGAGGCGTCATTGGACTTGGCGAAAGAGTACAAAAATGAATGGTGTCGCCATCCCAATTGGCGAATCAGAGGTGTCCTTGGTTACAGGCTAGGCTCAGGCTACGTGACAGCCTTTGGGATGCCATGCCTGAATGCATGTAACCCTATTGGAGGTGATGGGAGGAGACTTACAACATACAGTATAGGTGCAAAGTAGGCACAGGCAAGGTGGCAGCCTAGGGGTTACATATCTGCATGCATGTATCACGATTGGACAGTAAGGGAGGCGCCATTGGACTTGGCGAAAGAGTACAAAAATGAATGGTGTCTCCATCCCAATTGGAGAATCAGAGGTGTCCTTGGTTGCAGGCTAGGCTCAGGCTACGTGACAGCCTTTGGGATGCCATGCCTGAATGCATGTAATCCTATTGGAGGATGGCTGCGTTATTTGCCAAAAGAGGTAAAATATGGAATGCGGTGTCGCAATCTGGACAACTATGAAGTGAAAGCTGCATGAAATACATTAAGGCTGAAAGTGCTAAAGCCAACACTCATATAGTTATACGGTTTGACCGAAACAACCACAACTTCATTGTGAAAGAGACAATCGACCATAACGAAGGCCTTCCAAGACAAGAATATAGGGTCATGCTACCTTCTCGTTGGTGCGATTGTGGAAGGTTTCAAGCATTTCGCATGCCTTGCTCTCATGTCGTTTCCGCTTGTGCTCATACCCATCAAGACGCGCTGCAACTTCTGTCAAACATTTACAAATCTGAAATGTTGCTCAACATTTACAACAACAACTTTCCTTTGGTAGCAAAACCAGATTATTGGCCTGCATACGACGGCGAAATGGTGTGGCACAATGACCAAATGCGAAGGAACAAGAAGGGTCGTCCCAAAAGTAAGCGCATCACAACAGAAATGGACGGTCTTGACAAGTTGGAAAGAAAGTGTGGTTTATGCCGTCAGGTCGGACACAATCGCAAAAATTGTCTGAATCAGGCGTCTGCCTCGACCACATAAAAATTGTAATACATAAAATCTTTCCTTAATTATGTTGTAAACATTAGGGTTTTCCGTTAACAAATTTTGCTACAATAAATATTGCGTGTACAAGAAAAATTAACGATATTCCGTCTATGAAATTACAACTGTTAACACAATTTCATCTGACCCATGCATCATCAACATTACATCGCTGTCTGTTTTGACTTCCTCCAACCATACATTAGGTCTTCCTGTCGCATGTGAGGTTGTTGTTCATTTTCGCTGGATCCTTCGAATTTTTCCCCCCTCCGCAATGTCTCCATCTAGCCATCGCATCAACTCCCGCTTCAGACGCTCCATGGAGTGAATGTGCTAGAATTTCATTTTCATCGCAGGTTTCATGGCGGAGAAGATAACGTAACCATCTCTACTAAAAATCATGGGCGACGTCATGACGCAAATAACAGAGTAAAAAATAAAAATAGAGTGCGAGAAAGTGTGCGAAATTTCGGAGAAACGGACGAATTATTTATAAAACAGCATTTTGCCCTATGAGCCAAGTGAGATGGTTCCTCCTCTCACTTTTAAGGAGCATGCGCCATCTCACTTGGCTAAAAGTGAAGGGAGGCGCCAAGTGAGATGGCGCCTAGGGAAAAAGTAGGGGTGGAGGCGCCAAGTGAGATGGCTCCTCCTTTGGAGAGTCATCTGAAACATGGTTATTTGCGTAATTTTTTCCGAAACGCGGTTATTTGCGAAATATTATTTTAATACTTGGTTATTGTAAAAAAAAATTCTACATCTTTATACATTATTAATATCTATTCACCGTGTAATTTGGCTGAAAAAAGAATTATTTGTTCGGAAAATATGGGCTGGAAGAACAAGTTAGAAAATGGTGAGTGGGTGGTGGGTGGTGACTTTAATTCAATTAAAAGTAAAGAAAAAGAGGAAGGGTTTGGCAGGAAATACTAGAAGTTTGGAAATTGAGGAATTTCAAAGTTTCGTTGATGCTATGGAGTTTGTGGATGTACTAGTGTCTGGGGGAAACATTTTCACTTGGATTAAACCTGATGGAAAGGCTTGTAGTAGACTAGACTATATTTTGCTATCTGAGGCATTGTTTTCCAAATAGGGTGTTATGGCTCAAGTTGTGGGAAGCAGGGAAATTTCAGATCATAAAGTGGCGTGGTTGAAATCTAGTTTCATGAATTGGGGACCCAAAGCCTTCAGAGTCAATAATTGGTGGTTCGAACATAAGGAGTTTTTGGGGTTTGTGAAAAAGGAATGGGCTTATTTCCATCTTAAAGGAAGAAAGTCATTTGTTTTAAAAGAGAAATTTAAGTTGCTTAGAGAAAGTTTAAGAAGGTGGAACCTGCAAGTTTTCGGGTGGATCGACTTAAAGATTGAAGAGGATGTGGCGACTATAAATAACTTAGAGGATCAATCACTGCTATTTTAGAACCAGGAATTTGAGGAGGTGATGAAGGATATAAGAAGGAATCAAGACTTAATATGGAAAAATATGCACTATAAAGAGAGCATATTAAAGCAAAATTCAAGATATAGGTGGATTAAGGAGGGTGATAACAATACAAAATGTTTCCATTTTGTGGTGAACTTTAGAGCTAGAAGAAATTCAATCGTCTTGATTAAAACTCCAAATGGTCTTGTCAAGGATGTGTGCGGAGTGAACGAAGCCATAAAAAATCACTTTGAAGCTAGGTTTCATAAGTGCTTTATGCCAAGACCAAGGCTTCAAAACATAAATTTCAAAAGTTTATCTATTGTAGACCGTGATAGAGTTGAGGAAGTGTTTTCGGAAGAAGAAATCAAGAGAGTTGTGTTTGAAGGTGATGGTGACAAAAGCCCAGGTCCAGACGGCTTCAATCTGGTTTTTTGAAGAAGTGCTGGAGTATAGTAGGAAGTGAGGTCGTTGGATTTATTCAAGATTTCCAAAAATCTGGTAAGCTCCCAAAAGTTGTAACATCTTCTTTCTTGGATTTAATTTCAAAGTGTGAGAATCCATTTAGACTTGATGACTATAGGCCTATATGTTTGATCAGTAGTCTGCTTAAGATTATATCTAAGCTACTTGCTGCTAGACTCAGATGTGTCATTGGAAATTTGATTTCTTCCAATCAGTCTACATTTATCCCTGGAAGACAAATCTTGGATGGCGTTTTGGTTACCAATGAAATAATAGATTTTGCAAGGAGAAATAAGAGAAATTGTATGTTATGTAAAGTCGATTTTGACTGTGTTGATTGATATTTTCTGAGATTTATGCTTATGAAGATGGGCTTTGGCGATAGATGGATGTGGTGGCTGGAAGCAAGTGTTTTTACTAGTTCCATGTCTACTTTGGTTAATGGGAGGCCAACAGAAGAGTTCAAAGTTAGTAAAGGTTTACGCCAGGGCAATCCACTATCTCCCTTCTTGTTTACTATTGCGGCTGGAGGTTTATCAAGTATTCTGGGGCAGGCAGTTAGTAGAGGTTTGTTTTCTAGTTTTAAAATTTCAAATGAGGTGAATTATAGTTTACTTCAGTTCGCAGACGACACAATTCTGATAGGAGATGGCTCTTGGTCAAATTTATGGGCTATAAAAGCTATGCTCAGAGGTTTTGAGATGGCTTCTGGTTTGAGGATTAATATGTCCAAAAGTAAGATCTATGGAATTGGCACGAATTCGGGATTTTTGGAAGCGGCCTCTCATTTCTTGGCGTGTCAAGTGGACCAAATTCCCTTCAAATTTATAGGCTTATCTGTTGGGGGCAATCACATGAACCTGATTTTTTGGAAGCCAATTACTAACTCGTTGAAATCCAAACTTTCGTCATGGAAGGAAATATTTTTGTCAATTGGAGGAAGAGTTACCTTATTAAATACAGTTTTGTCAAATCTACCTATTTATCAACTCTCCTTTTATAAAATCTCTGTCAAGACTGTCCAGGAAATCACGGCCATCCAAAGGAAATTTATGTGGCAGGGAGTGGCGGACAAAGAAGGGGTGGTGTGGATAAGTTGGGATACAATATGCAAATCTAGAGATGATGGTAGTTTGGGAGTAAAAGACGTCGTCAAATTTAACTTAGCTCTTCTCTCAAAGTGGATATGGAGATTTTTGAGAGAAAAAGGAACCATTTGGGAAGGCTTAATGCAGGAAAGAGATGAAGATCTAAATAAGAGACTATGGCTACACGATGAAGTTGGTTACAAACCCAAAGATTCTAATTGGTGGAGAGATATTATGTTGCTATGTGATAACCCTTTAGGAATCTTGAAGAAAATTTCAGTAAAGTTGGGGGATGGTAGAAAGGTGCCTTTCTGGAAGTCTAGTTGGTTGGGGAATGGATTTTTAGCAGAACAATTTTCAGCTTTGTATCATGAAATCTCAAATAAACTTGATATTGTTAGTAGTATGGGCAATTGGAACAACGACATGTGGTCTTGGAACATTATTCAAAGGGAGAAGTGTTGGGTTTGGAGGCGTCGAGAGAGTGTCGTGAGTTCGAAGAGGTATTGTTTGGTATACAGCCTGATCCGAACACGATTGATACTGTTGTTTGGCCTTTTGACAATTCAAGATTATTTACTGTGAAATCTTGTTATAATATTCTCATGCAGGAGCAAGGCGAGGCTGATATCGAGGATAGGCAAAAACGTGCTCTCAAAATTATTCGGGGATCTCGACGTCCGTCTAAAATTAAGATTTTCGGGTGGAGACTCGTTTCAGATAGACTTCCTACGAGGAAACAACTCTTACAAAGAGGGATTATAACACAGTCACAAGATGCAACATGCATTTTCTGCAATCAGATCGACGAGGATATTGTTCACCTTATGTTGCATTGTTCCAAATTGAAGTTGTTGTGGCAGAAGATCCAAGGGTTGGATATACAAATTCCAAATGTGGATAATTGTAGCAGTCACTTGATAAAAAGTGTGGAAGAATTGGGGCGTAAGATGTCAAATAATAGATCTAGAGTCGTGTGGTTGATAGCCTGTTGGTGTATTTGAAATCAAAGAAATAACATAGTTTTTAACAGTGTAGAATTCGACATTGACGAAATCTTTTTTAAGACTGGTTTTCTTGGTGGTGGCTAACTATAAGTTTCAAGGATAGAATCTTGTGTAATTTCTATGAGTGATTTAAAAATCCTACTCTATGCTTGTGATTTCTTAGCCGAATCTGTATTTTGATCTCTTGAAAGGGTTGGAGTACCCCTAGTACTCCTTTTCTTATTCAAGAGTTGCTTATCAAAAAAATCAATCATCTTTTTATTCACATCATTTACTTTTCAACCAATTTCAACTTCAAAATCCTAATTGATTTTAGAAATATTACGAAAAATTACACTAAACAATATCATATTAAGTTATATGTCAGCCTTTACACTTGTAATTATTCATTACTTTCTAGAGTGCTTAAGAAAAAAACACCTTAATAACATCTACCATGTCTTCCACAGAAAGAAAGAAGCATAACACAACATGTAAGAAGAGAAACCAAAAGATCGAAACATCTAGAAATCAAAAAAAGACAAATACATATATATGTTACTCATTTTCTTCAGGTATAGAGTCCAATATTGGTTTCCGATCACTTCTGAAACGAACTCCATCTTCCATAACAACTGATAATAATTCTTGTAACGATATTTGCTTAGTCACCAACTGTTGAAGCTGTTGCTTTGTTATTAAAACTTTGATCCTCTTTATGCCACCCTCAGTCTCTTCCTCTTTGTTATGAGGAATCAAGTAGTACAATTTTCCACCTTTCAACTCATGATCTTGTGATAGAGTTTCTGTTGCATTCTTCGAAACACCGATACCGTTACCAGGAAAATTTGTTAAGATATCTTTGACGTGAATTGGAGAAGTAAACTCTAGTATTTTACCATCTTCTTTGGCTACTTTAACTAGTTTTCCCATGGTAGATGCTATGCAATATGATTTTGAAATGGGTGTAGGATGAGCAAGACAATTTCCCATTTTTGTTGAAACAAAAGCAACTATAGAGATGATGACAAAATGGAAGGAGTTTGATGTGTGTGTGAGAGAGAGAGGGGAAAGAGGAAAATGTAAGTTATGTGAGATTGAAGGAAAGGAAGTGAGATATATAGTTAGTATAGTAGTGTGGTAGGTCTTTTTAAAAAATTGATGGGTTTGTTTTGTGTGGAGTAGAGTAGAAACCTGTTTTTCTGTTAAGTATTAAACTTGTGAGTTGGACAAGGATTAGATTAAGAGAGAAGTTGGGTTTTCTACACTCATAGTTACATCAAGATTGTTTCATAAGTTTGAATGATTTAGATTTAACTTAAAATTAAAAAATTAAAAAATTAGTTAAAACTTGATTAAGATGGTAAGTGTTACTTTCAAATTAGTTAGAAATTTTAAATTTCAAGTCTAGTTTTAGACTCATACGTAGATAATAGTGACAAACGATAAGTCGCTCCATTTAAGTATGTCCTAAAAAAATCTGTTAAAAAGAGATAGAATGGACATTAGGTAGGTTTGGACTTAAAACTTTAATCTGTCACACAAAATAATAAAGTCAATTTGGAGAGATCTACATAAACTACATTATTTTAGTCTAAAATTTATAAGAACTTATGTTAATATCTATGACCGTAAAAATATGTGAAAAACAAAATAAAACGGAATAGATATATTAAAAAATGTGAGTCTAAAACATTGACCATTGACCTGATCCAAAAATATATAAATAAAATAAATCTATCTAATGAATCAGATTTATTTTACCACTTATGATGTTATTGGATTTAAAATTAATCTCTCTAATTTTGGACGGATGATACTCGATTTAAATGTAGATTTTTTAAGTTTTTATTGCATATAATTAAACTAAAAAGAGAGAGTATCTTTGAGAATTGGAAATGAAATATTTGTCCACACGCATGCAATAAAAGGTCGGTTTAGTGGAAAATGGTAAAGTTGCATTTGCTCATTTTGACTAGTACTAGTATTTTTTAAGCACCTTTAGATCAATATGTAACTTATTCTTATGATAGGGTGGTACTAGGTGTGCTGCTAGGCTTTTCTTTTGAACTACACCATCAATGTCCTAATTTGGTGGAGCAAAAAAATCTTCAAGTTGAGAGAAAGACTTTTTGTTCCTTTTATATTCATCTTTGAGATATCTTAAGACAACCCTAATTGCGAACCATTTATATTGCATTTTGTTTGATTAATCTATTTATATTCCATTAGGTTCTTCTCTTTTTCTTCTTCTTCTTTTTTTACTTCAAAGACAATTAAATAAAAAGAATGGATCCATATTGATATTTATGTGTCATGCTGAGGCAGTGATGTAACAAATCAAATTCATATATGACATGGTTTAGGTAATACAACTATACAAGGCTTAAAAGTTAGGTAGTGGGTTACATTATGATTAATTGGTTTTGTTTGTTAGAGATTATAGATTAACATAATTTAGCTACTAACTACTCATTTTATGACTAGTTTTAAATTGGTCATGTAACCATGACTAGTGAACATGTCACACTCTTTGAGTTAAAGTTCCTTCAATGCAAAGGGCTTTCTCAATCATATGTTAATACTTAATACTAGTGTGATATATAAACACAATTTGGGTATATAAAATTGTTATAGGTTTTGGTTACCAAGTATGCATTCTTAAAAACTAATAAACAAGTACATTTGCTTTGAGTGCTAGTAGGTATACATTGGCCCCCCAACATAAGAAAATGTCACTGTCCCATTTGATTAAACATAATTAGACAAAGATCTTCTAAATCCAGAAAGGTCCTTTTGTTTAATTTAATTTATTTAGAATTTGCTAACCACCAAGCTTCCTAATCAATGTTGAGGAACTCACTAGTGTTAAAAGTTCAAGTTTTGATGGTGTTAATTAAAGCAAAAGGTTATAGTTAATGGATTACATGTTTAAAGTTATCGTTCTTATAAATAGTACTAGATGTGTATCTTTTTAACTGGATATTCACATTTCTTTAAAAAGAATTAGAAATATTTCAAGAAATGTGAACAAAGTTAAACAGTTTCTACTTTAAATGATAATAAAGGGGTGTGTCTGGTCATTAAATAAGAAAATTTGTCCCCTTATATAGACAAAAAAAATTGTTAAATTTTTTTTCATAAATATTAAAGAGTTGTGTATCATGTGTTGAAATTAATTCAATAACAATTATATATATATATATATATATATATATATATATATATATATATATATATATATATATATATATATATATATATATATATATATATATATATATATATATATATATATATATATATATATATATATATATATATATGATTTACGAAATATTAGTATACGATATATATGAGATTTCAAGAATACCTGGATACATAAGATAAAAAAAAATTTTGATAATGATAATTGTAATCTTGAAACGCAAAAGTGTAGAGACAAGTGAGCGGCGCTAATTGGCTTGTGGATCTTTCTCAACCGGTACTCAATATGTCTTGAACACTCTTCAAATAGGAAGAATATATTATTTTGTTTGTGTACGGTATATTGGGGACCATAGCCTTTATATAATATGATGGCCAATTACGGTTCCCATATTATTCCCAAATGGATCATCTTTGTTGGTGCAAGGTGATGAAATTGAGGAAGAAGAGAGAAAATGATGAATAATAAAAAGCTGCTACAAATGATTGAAAAGGGATTGTATAAATTAATGAAACCTAGTACACCTATTTATACACAAAAATAGTAAAGATAAGAATGTCACATAGGCTCTAAGAGAGAATATTCCAAATATAGAAAATACTAAATTACCCCTTTAATATCATCCCTTAATTTAGTATCTATCAGAAACTAACAACACAAATTTCATTTCTCAAATGAAGAAATTGGTCTGTTTTGATTGCCTTTGTCAGAACATCTGCCAGATATTTCTGGGTGCTACAGTGTAGAACTTCTAATACTCCTTTCTGCACTTGACTTCTCAGAAAATGATACTTCGTCTCAATATGCTTGCTTCTTCCATGCAACACTGGATTCTTGACAAGATTGGCTGCTGACTTATTATCAATCAATAACTTCAGAGGTTTCTCTATCTCAATCTTCAAATCCTCCAGAAGATTCAGAAGCCAAACAGCTTGACATGCAGCTACAACACCCGCAATGCATTCAGCTTCACACGTTGACAGAGCCACAATAGGTTGTTTCTTGGAACTCCAAGAAATTGGACCTCCCAAAAACTTGAACAAGTAATCAGAAGTACTTCTTCTGTCAACTCTATCTCCACACTAGTCAGAATCAGAATAACTCACTAATTCTGGTTCTGTCTTTCTTCTAGAAGGAAATAATATTCCATATTTTAGAGTTCCCTTGATATACCTCAGAATCCTGACAACAGCTTGATAATGAGACCACTTAGGTTTACTCATGAATCTGCTAACCATTCCAACTGCATAGCAAATGTCAGGTCAGGTATTACACAAATACCTAAGAGAACCAACCAACTATTTGAAGGTCGTAGCATCCACAGAATCACCATCTGAATCAGAATCCAATTTATGATTGGTTTCTGATGGTGTCACAACAACTTTACAATTCTGCATCTTAAATCTCTTCAGAAGTTCAAGTTCATACTTCAGCTGATATAGAATGATACCCTTCTTTGAGTACAAAATCTCCATTCCTAGAAAATATACCATATTTCCCAGATCTGTCATCTCAAATTCATTCATCGGAACTTCTTTGAACTTGATTATATCTTCTGGACATGTCCTTGTTAGCAATATGTCATCAACATATAGACACACCAGAATTATATTGCCACTAGAATGCTGCACATACACGCCATATTCTATCTCACATTTCTGAAACTTCTACCTCTTGAAAAACGAATCAATTTTCAGATTCCATGCTCTGGGCGTTTATTTCAGTCCATACAAGGCTTTATGTAACTTGTATACCATCCCTTCCCGATTCTTTTTCACAAATCCAGGAGGTTGTGACACATATACCTCTTCTTGTAACAGACCATTCAAAAATGCATACTTCACATCCAGATGTATCAAAGGCCAATTTCTGTTTGCACCTAAAGCAATCGTTAGTCTGATTGTTTCATGTCTAGCTACAAGCGCAAATACCTCAAAGTAATCTAGCCCAGGTTTCTGAAGAAAACCTCTAGCCACTAGTCTCACTTTGTGTTTGCCAATTGATCCATCTAGCTTAAGCTTCACCTTGAAAACCCATCTGACGCTGATGGCTTTCTTCTTTTCTAGAAGCTTTGTCAACTTCGAAGTTTTGTTTCTTTAAATAGCCTTAAGTTCTTCCTTCATGGTATTCAACCATACTTTCTTCTTGAGAGCTTCTTCAATACCTACTGGTTCAAAATCTACTAACATGGCACACTGAACGACTTCTCCTTCAGAATCTACTTCAGTATCATGCAACATGCTAAAATCTCCAAACCTACTTGGTATTTGTCTGATTCTCCGTGGCCTATGAATTTGTTCTGAAGCTTCTCCAGAACTTGGAACAGTGCTAGCTTTTGGACCTTGTCCAGAACTACTTCCTTCAGAATTACCACCTTCAGAGTTACTTCTGGAAGCTTGTCCTCCAGACCCTATGTCTTCAGAGTTTTCACTTCCAAAAATATAATCACCACCAGATTCTGGATCATCATCAGAATCTGGATCAAAATCAGATCCACTATCAGAATCTCCTTGAGATTCTGAATCATCTTCAGAGTCTTCAGAATCAGATTCATCTTCTGACTCTGACTCGTCTTCAGAACTTTCTGAAGAATCTTCAGAAACTAACTCTGGTGTTAGCGTTACACCATAGTCTGATTGAGGCTTATTCCAATCCAATGTTTCTGACTCTTTTCACAATAACGTCTCAGCTGATTTCAACTTTGTTGGTTTCTGGATAATAAATCTTATAGGAACCTGTACTATGGTACCCCACCAGTAAAATTACTTTGCTTCTATCATCCAGT